CCAAGACCGGCTGGTTCCTGGGCCCAGCCGCACCCTGCCGCGCTGGCACATCATGCCGAACACACCACGGGCGCCTCGCAGCCCCAAAAGCTGCTCTGCCCCCAGGACCACGCCGCCACTTAGGCACGTAACCCTCGCCGCTTGTTATGGGAAGCATTAGGTCCACAGCACCCCAGAAACACGGGCAGGTGAGCCACAGGGTTAAACATTTACAATTGGTGGTGCAATTGCCAGTAAAGCTGGAAGCGGGTAAACCCAAGGGAGAGAGGCAGGGCAGCTGCTACCCCGATCCGACCGGGCAATCGCATGGGAGGGAAAAAAAGCAGGTTCCTACAGGTCCGTGCTTCCTCTGACAGCGAGGTGTCATCCCCCCCCCCTTTTCCTCCTGCGAATAAATCAGCGTGACAGTGGCAACGTGGGCTCGTCAGCTGTGGGCTGTTCTCTACGGCTCCTTTTCTACCCCTAAAAGCAGGCTGGCTGTCTAAACCTTTCACCTCTAAAAGCAACGCAGATAGCATGTCCTACCTGATAGGAAGGAAGACGTAAGAGACTGGTGACAGATAAACACTGTTTAAGAAGCAGTAGTAATTAAGTCTCTCTATACAGGTATCCACCGGCTGCAGGAGAGCACGCAAGTCTCTCCCGCTGTCATTTCCGAAGGCTGTTTGTCCATCAGCCGAGATGGCCCACGAGCTTGCCTTGCAGAGCCAAACGCGAAGAGGCTGCTTGGAGAGGAGTCGGGGGAAGAGGGGATAGCTAGGATACTTCTGAATCAAGAAAAACAGCCCTGTCAGTTAGTTATACCTTGTCATTTAAGCGAGACCAGGGAAAGGAGAAAGGTTTGAAACTTTCTGCCTAGGGTTCCCATCACAGCGCCAGCTACCTCTGCCCCTGCGAGTCACCCCTAAGTCTGGCCTCGGCAACCCAGAGACAGCCAGAAAGGGTCCCACCACGGAGGCCGACGTCTCTCCGGATCTCCACAATCCTCAGAGCTGCGGAGAGCCGCTCTGGCTCGTAGAAGAGCCAACGCCTGATTTGCACCGTGGACTGGGCCCTTCACATGTGAAAGCAAAATTGCCACAAATCCATACGTCGTAAGCTTACAGGCGTTTCGCTGACCTGCGCAGTTCTGCGGGGCCCTCCACACAGACTACCAAAAATCACAACCCGCCGAGCGAGCAGGAGCAGAAAACCGAGCACCACCTCACTGTGGCTGACAGCACGGCAGGTTAAAACGAGCTCTTCCTGCCAAAGCAGAAGCTACCAAGGAAATACGGTTACAGCCGCAGCGCGAGCGGGGAAGCATCCTCCAGCAGTTGGGACGCACATCCCTGCAGCGAGGCAAGCCCCGAGGGCCCCCTTCAGCTCTCCTGTACGATCACAACACGCAGCCCGGTGCTCTACGCGCACAAGACACCGCGGCAGCCTGCTCAGCGCCACCGGCCAACCTGCCTTCCCCGCTCTGCGCTCTCTTCTCCAACAAAACGGGCTTCGCATCGCTCCAGCACACGGCCCAGACAAGCTGTGCGACGAGGAGCGGAGCTCACCGGCTGCTCCGCCACGTGCTGGCTCAACCCCAGAAACCAGCTGCATTGCGGGAAGGCTGAGCTC